AGGCATTAAAGGGGTATGGAAACAAAAATTGAAATATTCAAATTTCGTACGGAAATGAGTTAAGCATGACGGAAAATAACCGTATATGATAATCGCACGTTTGTATTTTGAACGACTGGCTATATTTGTCGTTCCAAACGGTGCACTCGAGCAAGTGCTCGAAAAGAAGCGAACGGAGAGCGCGATGCGTCATGGGATATCCGACGCAAACAAAAACAGAAAGAAGAGATTTCCCGCATTCGTGGAGTAGCAAGGCAGGCGTGGTTATGAGCTTTGCCCTTGGTGGCGTCAGCGTTGTGGTGGTGTCAATAGCATCAGCGCGTTACAACCAAGTCGTTCGAAGTACCCGTGGGGTGACTAGCATGTGGCTGGCCCAAGGAGCACGTAGCTTAAATCCACAACACTGTCAGCTTAGGGCTGAATGGGGTGGGGAAAGCAACTTTTGTTCGAGTTTTGAGTGACGGGCTAATCTTCTAGGGGGAGAGTGGCTGTGTCCGGTTGCACGAATGAGGGTCCGAGAAAGAAGGGAGTCCTTCCTTTCCATCTTCTTGGACCGTTTGGTACAATGAGCGACTTGTGAGTTGAGGAGGAAAGCTAAGAGGGAAGATGTTGAAATGCCAAAGAGCGGCGCTGCTTTGAAGGAATCTGCTACGTCACGACTACATAGCAGATTCCACAACGTTGCTAGACTACCTCCCAAATGGGTTCTGCAGCATCCACCAGGTGCACATTGAAAGATTGTTTATTTCAGGGTGTCGAACCGGAACCGAACTGGTATTTTTTCCGGAACTGAACCCGAACCCGAACCGGAACTGAACCGGAAAAAAATAACGGTTACCGGTTCATGTCAAAACGGTTAGGCCACGCGCTGTTGACAATGATTGTGCTATCAATACCATTTGTTTTTTAAGTGCCGTCAACTGACACACACCTCGCTTACATATTTTTCTTCTCCACTCAGTCTTAGGAATATGAACGCTGCATTTATGAATCTTGACATAGGAACCAGTATTGCGCTGGTCGCGGCTTGCACGGAAAAGAGAATTGGAAGGCTGTGCAAAAAAAAAAAATAATCGCGTCATGGGATTTCATTTTCCTACAATCTCGTAAAGCCTAAATGCTGCTGTGTGCTCATTTCCTAACAAGTTTCTAGAACGCGGGAGTTCTTGAAGCTTGCTTCCATCGGAATGAGAAAAGAAAAGGCTGTGGAGTTTGATAATAATGCATCCGGTTTCGTATAGGCACTTAGAAGCTAACATATATGTGAGACAGCGAACTCTTCTATTATAATATTTATCCTATTACGTCCTTCTGGTATTGCGTTCGGTGAAGTGTTTTTCATATTCCGTATCTTGTTTAATGAAAACTTCTTTAAGGGTCTAATTTGAGTTACCGAAGGCTAGTTCAAATAAAGAAAGCTGTATTTTCTCCCCACTGTTCCTTCAATTGCTTACACGCCGAGGTGGCGGGATAGTTAGCGAGTTCTACTTGTAAGTGGGTTTGTAAGGAGGTCGCGGATTTTACAGCTACTGCGTCGGACACAATTAGATGAAGTCCGAATGCGTAAACGTCGGTGTGGCAACCTTTGAGTGCACATAAAGAAACCATTCCTGGTAGAAATCCCTGAGCCTTACACTACGATGTATCCCGTTTCGTATGTGCTGATTTCAGATGTTTTATTTGTAATTTATTTTGATGTTGCAATTTGTCATTTAGAATTTCCGAACCGGTTCGCGGATCGAAATAATCGAACTGGAACTGAACCGGAACAAAATTAATTTACCTGAACCGTAACCGAACCCGTATTTTTTTCGGTTCGACACACTGATTTATTTAGCTTTAAAATTAGTTTTCTTGTGCCTTTCCACGGAAGACTAGTGTTTTTGAGGTTAGGGTGCAACATGCAACACATTCAAGCTAGAAAATGAGCGCTGGAATTTTGTTTCCCTACCCCTTTAAGGTGCTTTTGTCATCATGCTGTACTTTTGTCCAATGCTGCGGCATGCTCGGTCAGCCTTTATTTTAAAGTTTCATTTCCCCTCACAACTTTTAGATAGAATGAACACAAAGGAGGTTAGAAACGGCGTCAAAAATACAAATAAACTGGCTAATATACTCTGTTTCAGTGTAACTTGACAAAGAATGAAGGCTGCTTCCCAGACGAGCCTATTTGATCGTTAAAGGGATACTTCAACGAAATTTGAAATATTCCCGTCGTGTTCAAAAATAGGTTGAATATGATCCACAATATCCGTAAATGACAATCGCACATTTGTATTTTGAGCCTGGTGGCTGTATTTTTCGTTATAAACGGCCCACTCTGGCAAGCGCTCGGAGAAGGCCCAGCGGAGACCACGTGACATCCAACGCAATCGTGACGTAGGTCGTCTCAAGACGAGCAAAGCTACGGCGAGGCTGACGTCGAGAGGATAGCGTAGTCGTTCCAGCAACCGAAGCGGCTGCTTTTGTACAAAGTTTGAGTGACGGGTTAATCTTCTATAATCTTGTAGGGGGACAATAGCGACTTCTGTGACACACAAAAGGCATTCTCGGGAAGAGGGGAGTTCCTGCTGCCCCTCTTCTCTCGTCGTGGCCGGAGGCGAGACAACCTCCGTCACTAGCTGCCAAGGTTCCTAGACGGGCATTACAAGCGAGGCGTTAGCGACATCCACCAGGTGCTCTTTGCTAATCGTTTAATTCGTTTTAAAATTCCTTTTTGTGACTTTTTTAACAAGATATTGGTATGTTCCATGTGATACTGCTCCTTTGAACACATATAGACCAAAAAATGAGCGCCGAAATTTCGTTGTAGTATCCCTTTAAGGCGAGCCACTGACATTCGCCGTCACTGAGCATTACCCCTCTGTGAAACAGTGCCCATGCTTCACTCCGTCGCACTGATTGGCTCACGTGGGCCGTAACCTTTGTTGTTCGTCGACTTATGGTGAGATGGAGCAGAGAGTTTGCCCTAGTCTTGTTTCGAAAATCACGCAAAGAAATTTGCGTCGCCAAGTGGCACAGTATGTCCGAGGCATTTCTGTTCTTCTTAGCCCACTTCTGGCCTCTGCCACACCTGGAACTTCCACTTGTTATACCTGCGCATATTCAGGGTGTTCCAGCTATGTCGAACCAAGCTTTCAAAAAAGGAGTGCTTTAAAACCAACTGTCTGTTGTTAGTAGTCACCTTTTCTATAAAGCAGTATTTTTCATTGATTCTAATTAAAGAATTAATGAGAAATTGACCTAATTTTAAAATATTGATAAAAGGGCATAAATGTCAATTGGAAGTGAGGTGTTTGTATCGTAGTGCACCTTGTGTGTGTCTTTTGTCCAGCCCTTACGAAATGACCGTCAAATATGGTACCCCGAGACAACGTGCTATTTTTGAACACCCAATTATGGCGCAAAGGTGGGCCGTGAATAGGCATTCTTTGAAGGTTTGAATAAAAAGCAGGCAAAGCATACCATATGTTAAAACACGTCGAGCGGGTGCTCTCTACAACTTGCAAATTTACACCTTTCCTTGATTCAACATTTTAAGGTCTTCTAATTTCTTTTAATGAATTAATTAGGCTAAATAAAAATATTGTGACTCTTTGCCAAGACACCTACTAAGAACATTAGTTCTGTTTGCATAGAGCACTTAGTCATCTTATTAAAAATCTTGGTTCGAGATAACTGGGACACTCTATATAGATCCGGGTTGGGGCCTCACTTTTTCTGGTAAAAACAATGAAGGAAATAACCTAATATTTACCCTCTCGGGCATGACACTATTGTTGTCTCGTGATTTTCCCCGTTTGTTTGTCGGAGCACCCCTTTTTCCAGGATTCCAATTTTGAAGCACTTTCCTACTCGTAACCGTGGCTTCAAGGAAGACAAGTAGAGATATAATAATGTGGACAACAAGGGAGCCCTCATTTTGGTGTAAGTATGCCCAAGCATGCTAAGCATTGCTCAGAGGCATGAATGCCAATGCTACCAGTTTTCTACAAGTTCTCTGTACAGCAGTCCACATAATAAAATGAAAGTGGCACTCTCACTAGGCTGTCAATGGGAACTCTCGGTTGATTTAAGAACATGCTCTTTATCGGTATGCGATATGTCAGTTTGCATGTACGATATCCTCAGGCAGTCTTCCCGCCAGAACAAACTACCCTCCTGACAAATGTGTGCCGTTCCCGTTCGTCTGATTAGTGAAATCCAGGTTAATAGCAGTATCAAAAGTTCCCATTCACAAAGATAAATTAATTAGTACGCTGAAATAAAGAAGTTGCTTCGAGAGTGGATAAACAGTGAAAGGTTGTTTTGAGAAGGGTCCGATCGCAAAAGTTTTTTTGAGGGCTGTAAAAATGAGTTTTATTGAGAAGGGATAAAATGATAGTTGTTTCAAGAAGATTCAAAATAAAATAGTTTTTCTGAAATCTGTAAAACTGAGATTGAGAGGGGATAAAATTAGAAAGTTTGTTTTGAGAAGAGTCGAAATGAGAAAAGGAGTTATTTTGAGAAGGTTAAAATGTGAAGGCACATACAAGAACAAAAAGTGTGAATCGGTTAAAATGAGAACCACCCCCACTACCAGGTTATGTTGCATGGTTCTTGCACAGCGTGGAGTGATCTTGTGACGCGGAGCATCATTCTTTTCCCATGCTGGAATTGCAGGAACCAGCAGCCGGGGCCTCGATGGGAACCCTGCAGGCCTGTCTTCGGACAGCGCCTTCCACCGCAACCAGTGGGATATGCTACGTAAGTGTCTTCAAGGGACCTGTGTAGCCCTGAGGCAACACCACCGCACTCCTCACAGCAGGCAGCAGGGGCCCTGCAGCATCTTCAGACCAGTGCAGAAGCATTCCTCGGCGGAGCCTACAGCAGCGGGGTATGTCCCATGGTTCCTGCACAGCTTGGATGGATCTTGTGATGTGGAGCATTATTTTGTTCCCATGCCATGATTGTAGGGAGCAGCAGCTGGGAGCTCGGAAACCCTGCAGGCCTGTCTTGGGACGACGCCCTTTACGGCAACCAGCGGGTTGCGCTACGTAAGTGTCTTCCTTCTAGAGGCCTGCGTAGCCCTGAGGTAACACCACCACATTCTTTACAGCAGGCAGCAGGCACCGTGCAGCAGCTCCAGGCTGGTGCAGAAACATTCCTCGGTGGAGCCTCCAGCAGCGGGGTATGTCCCATGGTTCCTGCACAACTGGGATGGATCTTGTGACGCGGAGCATCATTCTGTTCCCATGCCATGATTGCAGGGAGCAGCAGCCGAGACCTCGGAAACCCTGCAGGCCTGTCTTAGGACGACGCCCTTTACGGCAACCAGCGGGTTGTGCTACGTAAGTGTCTTCAAGAGACCTGCGTAACCCTGAGGTAACACCACCGCACTCTTTACAGCAGGCAGCAGGGGCCATGCAGCATCTCCAGACCGGTGCAGAGCCATCTAGCGATGGAGCCTCCACCAACAAGGTATGTACTCCCATGGTGCCTACACAGCTTGAATTGATTTCGTGACGTGAAAAATCATTTCGTTCCCATGCCATGATTCCAGGAAGCAGCGGCCGGGACCTCAAGGGGAACCCTGCAGGCCTGTCTTCGGACAGCACCCTTCACCACAACCAGCGGGATATGCTACGTAAGTGTCTTCAAGGGACCTGTGTAGCCCTGAAGTAGCACCACCGTGCTCTTTACAGCAGGCAGCAGGGGCGATGCAGCAGCTCCAGACTGGTGCAGAGACATTCCACGGCAGAGCCTCCAGCAGCGGGGTATGTCCCATGGTTCCTGCACAGCTTGGATGGATCTTGTGATGTGGAGCATTATTTTGTTCCCATGCCATGATTGTAGGGAGCAGCAGCCGGGACCTCGGAAACCCTGCAGGCCTGTCTTGGGACGACGCCCTTTACGGCAACCAGCGGGATATGCTATGTAAGTGTCTTCAAGGGACCTGTGTAGCCCTGAGGCAACACCACCGCACTCCTCACAGCAGGCAGCAGGGGCCATGCAGCAGCTCCAAACTGGTGCGGAAACATTCCTCGGCGGAGCCTCCAGCAGCGGGGTATGTTCCATGGTTTCTCCACAGCTTGGATGGATCTTGTGATGCGAAGCATCATTTTTTTCCCATGCCATGATTCCAGGAAGCAGCGGCCGGGACCTCGGGAACCCTGCAGGCCTGTTTTGAAACAATGCCCTTTACAGCAACCAGCGGGTTGTGCTACGTAAGTGTCTTCCAGAAACCTGTCTAGCCCTGAAGTAGCAACACCACACTCTTTACAGCAGGCAGCAGGGGCCATGCAGCAGCTCCAGACTGGTGCAGAAACATTCCTCGGCGGAGCCTCCAGCAGTGGGGTATGTCCCATGGTTCCTGCACAGCTTGAATAGATCTTGTGATGCGAAGCATTATTCTGTTCCTATGCCATGATTGCAGGAAGCAGCAGCCGGGACCTCGGGAACCCTGCAGGCCTGTCTTTGGACGACGCCCTTTACGGCAATTAGCGGGATGTGCTACGTAAGTGTCTTCAAGGGACCTGCGTAGCCCCGAGGCAACACCACCGCACTCTTTACAGCAGGCAGCAGGGGCCATGCAGCATCTCCAGACCGGTGCGGAGCCATCTAGCGATGGAGCCTCCACCAGCAGGGTATGTCCCATTGTTCTCGCACAGCTGGCATCGATCTTGTGACGCAGAGCATCATTCGGTCCCCATGCCGTGGTTGCAGGAAGCAGCGGCCGGGACCTCAAGGGGAACCCTGCAGGCCTGTCTTGGGACGACGCCCTTTACGGCAACCAGCGGGATGTGCTACGTAAGTGTCTTCAAGGGACCTGCGTAGCCCTGAGGCAACACCACCGCACTCTTTACAGCAGGCAGCAGGGGCCATGCAGCATCTCCAGACCGGTGCGGAGCCATCTAGCGATGGAGCCTCCACCAGCAGGGTATGTCCCATTGTTCTCGCACAGCTGGCATCGATCTTGTGACACAGAGCATCATTCGGTCCCCATGCCGTGGTTGCAGGAAGCAGCGGCCGGGACCTCAAGGGGAACCCTGCAGGCCTGTCTTTGGACGACGCCCTTTACGGCAATTAGCGGGATGTGCTACGTAAGTGACTTCAAGGGACCTGCGTAGCCCTGAGGCAACACCACCGCACTCTTTACAGCAGGCAGCAGGGGCCATGCAGCATCTCCAGACCGGTGCGGAGCCATCTAGCGATGGAGCCTCCACCAGCAGGGTATGTCCCATTGTTCTCGCACAGCTGGCATCGATCTTGTGACGCAGAGCATCATTCGGTCCCCATGCCGTGGTTGCAGGAAGCAGCGGCCGGGACCTCAAGGGGAACCCTGCAGGCCTGTCTTGGGACGACGCCCTTTACGGCAACCAGCGGGATGTGCTACGTAAGTGTCTTCAAGGGACCTGCGTAGCCCCGAGGCAACACCACCGCACTCTTTACAGCAGGCAGCAGGGGCCATGCAGCCTCTCCAGACCGGTGCGGAGCCATCTAGCGATGGAGCCTCCACCAGCAGGGTATGTCCCATTGTTCTCGCACAGCTGGCATCGATCTTGTGACGCAGAGCATCATTCGGTCCCCATGCCGTGGTTGCAGGAAGCAGCGGCCGGGACCTCAAGGGGAACCCTGCAGGCCTGTCTTGGGACGACGCCCTTTACGGCAACCAGCGGGATGTGCTACGTAAGTGTCTTCAAGGGACCTGCGTAGCCCTGAGGCAACACCACCGCACTCTTTACAGCAGGCAGCAGGGGCCATGCAGCATCTCCAGACCGGTGCGGAGCCATCTAGCAATGGAGCCTCCACCAGCAGGGTATGTCCCATTGTTCTCGCACAGCTGGCATCGATCTTGTGACACAGAGCATCATTCGGTCCCCATGCCGTGGTTGCAGGAAGCAGCGGCCGGGACCTCAAGGGGAACCCTGCAGGCCTGTCTTGGGACGACGCCCTTTACGGCAACCAGCGGGATGTGCTACGTAAGTGTCTTCAAGGGACCTGCGTAGCCCTGAGGCAACACCACCGCACTCTTTACAGCAGGCAGCAGGGGCCATGCAGCATCTCCAGACCGGTGTGGAGCCATCTAGCGATGGAGCCTCCAACAGCAGGGTATGTCCCATTGTTCTCGCACAGCTGGCATCGATCTTGTGACACAGAGCATCATTCGGTCCCCATGCCGTGGTTGCAGGAAGCAGCGGCCGGGACCTCAAGGGGAACCCTGCAGGCCTGTCTTCGGACAGCGCCCTTCACCACAACCAGCGGGATATGCTACGTAAGTGTCTTTAGGGGACCTGTCTAGCCCTGAAGTAGCACCACCGCACTCTTTACAGCAGGCAGCAGGGGCCATGCAGCAGCTCCAGGCTGATGCGGAAACATTCCACGGCGGAGCCTCCAGCAGTGGGGTATGTCCCATGGTTCCTGCACAGCTTGAATAGATCTTGTGATGCGAAGCATCATTCTGTTCCCATGCCATGATTGCAGGAAGCAGCAGCCAGGACCTCGGGAACCCTGCAGGCCTCTTTTGGGACGACGCCCTTTACGGCAACCAGCGGGTTGTGCTACGTAAGTGTTTTCAAGAGACCTGCGTAGCCCTGAGGTAACACCACCGCACTCTTTACAGCAGGCAGCAGGGGCCATGCAGCATCTCCAGACCGGTGCAGAGCCATCTAGCGATGGAGCCTCCACCAGCAGGGTATGTCCCATGGTTCTCGCACAGCTGGCATCGATCTTGTGACACAGAGCATCATTCGGTCCCCATGCCGTGGTTGCAGGAAGCAGCGGCCGGGACCTCAAGGGGAACCCTGCAGGCCTGTCTTCGGACAGCGCCCTTCACCACAACCAGCGGGATATGCTACGTAAGTGTCTTTAGGGGACCTGTCTAGCCCTGAAGTAGCAACACCGCACTCTTTACAGCAGGCAGCAGGGGCCATGCAGCAGCTCCAGGCTGATGCGGAAACATTCCACGGCGGAGCCTCCAGCAGTGGGGTATGTCCCATGGTTCCTGCACAGCTTGAATAGATCTTGTGATGCGAAGCATCGTTCTGTTCCCATGCCATGATTGCAGGAAGCAGCAGCCGGGACCTCGGGAACCCTGCAGGCCTCTTTTGGGACGACACCCTTTACGGCAACCAGCGGGTTGTGCTACGTAAGTGTCTTCAAGAGACCTGCGTAGCCCTGAGGTAACACCACCGCACTCTTTACAGCAGGCAGCAGGGGCCATGCAGCACCTCCAGACCGGTGCAGAGCCATCTAGCAATGGAGCCTCCACCAGCAGGGTATGTCCCATGGTTCTCGCACAGCTGACATCGATCTTGTGACACAGAGCATCATTCGGTCCCCATGCCGTGGTTGCAGGAGGCAGCGGCTGGGACCTCAAGGGGAACCCTGCAGGCCTGTCTTGGGACGACGCCCTTCACAGCAACCAGCGGGTTGTGCTACGTAAGTGTCTTCATGAGACCTGCGTAGCTGTGAAATGACACCACCACACTTTTTACAGCAGGCAGCAGAGGCCATGCAGCATCTCCAGACCGGTGCGAAGGCATCTAGCGACGGAGCCTCCACCAGCAGGGTATGTACTCCCATGGTTCCTACGCAGCTTGGATTGATTTTGTGACGTGGAGAATCATTTGGTTCCCATGCCATGATTCCAGGAAGCAGTGGCCGGGACGTCGACAAGGACCCTGCACCCTGTATGTCCATCGCTCATTTCACCTAGACTCACCGAAGATGTAATTCTTCAGATGAAGAGGAGAATTAAGCACCTGGAGAATGAGAACCGCCGCTTGGTGAGGCAGGCTGCTTTGCAGAAGACACGGGAAGCTACATTCCACACACACTTTCGCAAGATCTTCACTGCGGATCAACTGTTAGCTTTGTCAAGAACTAGCAACAGGGGATCCAAGTGGTCTAACGAGACTGTTAAAAAGTTTTTGCAGATGCGATTTGCCTGTGGCAGCACGGGCTACGACCTGATGCTGGAGGGGGGCTTCCCATTGCCATCGTCCAGAACGCTGAGGCGGAGACTTGAAGGCAAGTTTGTTCTTGGGTTACTCATCTGCCTCAAAGCTCCCTGTTGGTTGTTAGCAGATGTAATATCTTTGTAGTAACTCTACTATTTTGCAGTCTCCACAAACTTTCTGGATGTAATGAAGTGGTGTCGTGGTTTCTTTTTTATTTAGTTCCGTGTGATATAAAGGGGCAGATCAAACATATCGGGTTCGAATGCTTATCTCATTGCACGCATACTAGCACTAGTTTGTCCTCAGTATACTTCCATGTAGCACGATAAACCCAGAAGTTTCTGTTGGGAAATGAATTTAAGGTTAAAAGAAAGCCATGTTTTGCATTATTATTTTTTTCTAAGCTCACTGTTGTAACTGTGAAGATGATAGGAGGCATTCACTTGATCGAAAAATGTTTTAAGAAACGAAAACAAAACCACGACATTTCATTGAACGGCACTTCAGCTAATGGTGGCATTCATGTTAGCAATGGCTCTATGGTTTGGTAGGTTAGCTTACTGAACCCTCTGCGGTAAACCCTAGGTCCGGGGTGGCCACACTGACAATGTCCAAGAGCCACAAGCAAAGTTGTTCATGTTTCGAGAGCTGCATCGGGGTGGGAGGGGGAGGGGAGGGGGATAAGAGTTGTATTTAGAGAGAGTTCGCCGTAAGGTAGGATGTATAGGAGGTAAATGATGTGGCGCCATTGATCGAAAGCAGGCTGGGTGTGTTCCAGGTCACCTTCACAAATTCGAATGAGGCCAGCCAGAAGCCGCCAATCATACCCTGGTGGTCACGAGAAACAAAATAAATATGTGCGTCGGAGTAACTTTTGGTGGCTGAAAATATGCTGCACGTGATTTTTCGTTCATGGTCATGCAAAATAAAAACCTAGCAGAATGAATGATATAATCCACATGCCAGGGGCCGAGAGCCGGGAATCTGCCGTCTGAGCGGTCAGACTTTGTCCGAGCAAAACAGAGTTCAAGCGGCACATTCAATTCTTACATCTTTTTCCATGATCATAATTGAAACATCACGTGGACCATATTTTCAACTTTAAAGAGTTACTACATTTAACTCTTATGCGCCTATTAAAACTGTTTCTCGCTACCACCGCTAGGGGTGTTTTTCGGTTTCTGATTGGGTGAGCACGTCAAGCCTCCTTTCTGCGTCTGGCGCACGCCCTGGCTCTGCTCGTTCCTTTTATTGACCAAACTCGCTCTACATATGGTTTGGGGGAGGGCGGGCAGGGCGGGGCGGCGGCGTAGGTGCATGATGGAAATATTGTTTCTTTCATGTGCTCTTGGCATTATTTTATAAAGCCTTCTTCATCATACTTAAAGTTTGGTTAAAATGTTGAAATTATGTTTCGTAGTGCTTTGATTTCACGCTATAACCAAACGCTTTCATCAAGAGGATATATTAGATGACTCGGCTTAGTAGCTTTTACTGATTGTGTGCATACCCGGAACAGTGACCTCGTTTCTTCATTAGGCTGCTGCATTGCATCATTTGTAAAAGAACAATTTTAATAAGCAAATGTAGGTCGATAAGTCATTTATATCAACGATCTTCCCTCTTCGATTACCTCAACCATCCGCCTATTCGCAGATGATTGTGTTATTTATAGAAAAATCTTAGACCCGACAGACCATAATGTCCTCCAAAATGACCGTTACTATGAAATCAAACAAATCATACAGCCAATATACATTACTCATGCAGCAACTTGAATGTGTTTCACTATACAAATACTTAGGAGTAAACATCTCTGAAACTCTCTCATGGAAACAACAGATCGATAACTTAGTCACCAACTCATTTAAATCTCTAGGTTTCTTAAGGCGCACCCTACACCTGGCCCCCACTTCAACAAAACTGCTAGCATATAAAACAATTATTCTCCCTAAACTAGAATATGCAAGTATCATATGGCATCCGCATCAAAATTATCTTTCTTCCAAATTAGAATCTGTCCAAAGCAAAGCAGCCCGGTTCATATCAAACGACTTTTCGCCTCAAACTAGTGTCTCAGCTTTAAAAATAAATTTGGGTCTGGCTCCATTGTCTACCCGGCGCAATATTTACCGCATATGTTACTTTCATGACTTGTACTACAGCAACTCGTGCTTTAAAAGCACCCATTGTCATTCCGCACATTATATTTCTCCTCGAACCGATAATTCCTGTAAGGTGCAGCAATACCAGTCACACACTAATTCCTTCCTGTTTTCACCCTTAATATTATTGATTACTGAATGGAATAACTTGCCAGACGAGATGGTTACTAACACAAATCCCGTTGAATTTAAAACAATGTGCGAGCGCCTGTGGCATGAATAGTACACGTACATGCTTGTTTGTTGTTTTCATAGTCACTTTCCGTTTTTTCATATTGAAATTGTTGTTTTATATATAGTTACGTCCAGTTCAAAATTGCAGTTGTGTACGTACGATGTGACTTCCTTTTTGTAAACTGTGCTGGGCTGATTGCAATGATTTTGTTATAACAATGACTGTGTTTGAAAATTGTGTGACTATGTTGTTACAAATGCATGTACCACCTACCCCCCTCATGTAATGCGTCCTCAAAGACGCCCTTGAGGTAAATAAATGAAATGAAATGAAAATGTAGGTCAATAAGCAAAGGTTGTAAACAATTTTGGGCAGAACGTTTCACACAAAGCTAATGCTGCCTCATCTTACCATGCGAGGATGTTGCAAAGAAGCTAGAAAATAAAAGCAATAGATTATGTTCTAGCTGATTTGCCTCCACCTGACCATTAGTACAACTTAATGTAAAATTTATATTGATCTTTATTGGATCAGGAGGCCAATAAAGATGCGTATTGACAACGAAATCGCAACTTCAACCCAGGCTCGTAGCCAGGATTTTGACTCCCTCCCATCATACAGGACAAAATCCTGTATGAGGGGGAGAGAGGAGAGGAGGCCCCAGCAAAATTGAAGATTGAAGAGGCAACTCCATGGGTCCCTTTCCTGGCTACGTGCCTGCTTCAAACCCAGTATTATTAATGTCATGTTTTCCACCTGTTCCCCACTGTAACATTTTTATAAAGTTTCGTGTTTCAGCCAAACTATTTTAATTTGAGCCCCACGAGAGCCGCACTTCGGCCCGCAAAGAGCAGTTTGGTTATTCCTGCCCTAGGTGGTTCACGCTTGAGCTTGATAATCTCATTTCCCTCAAGCGACAGTAAAGGGTGAGTGCATGTAGCATGGTCTGCTGGAAGCCTACTTTGCCGAAGGCTATGAACAGCCTATTTGCTAAAACGTCATTTGCTATATAATATCGCCCCGAAGATAACCCTGGTTACAGTCAGGGGGAGCACCATGTGGTGACGATAGCTAAATGAGACACCTGAGTTTTTGAGGAGAACTGCATGAACAATCGAGCTGGGCTCTTGACAATCGGTGCATTTGGGTAGTGGCTCTTGGCTAACCTCTGCACAAGAATAGCCAACGTTGAAGATTGTTTGGAGCTCACCACATGCTGCATGCTACATGCTTTACCATCCCCAGCCCATGGCTTTGATGAACGGCATATAAGTAATAGCAGATCGCATGGCAACTTGTACTGGCTGCAAGTTAAGTGGGAGAAGGCTGCTTGTTTTAGTCTTTTTTTTTGCAACTACCATAGTGTGGAGAGAAAAATTGTGTTTTGTAGGTTAAGAGCATCAAGGATTATGTTTATGCAGAATTTATCATCAGCGAAAAAATTGTTGCATGGCATTATCCTGTTCCATTAAAATTATACGCTATGTAGTTTACTTGAAAATTAAAATACCGGAGAGCACAATTGTATATTTCTGGGATTGCTTTAGCTTCTATCTTGGTGTTTCACAGCTACCGTTTTTTTTAATTTTAACTTCAAATCAAGGTGGTTGGTTCTTATTATATTGTCACGAATGACAATTGATAAGGCGACGAAAACTGAAACAAACTAAATGTTTCATGGGGCGAACTTGTGCCCAAAACAAATATGAGAAAGCCTAGCGTTGATGGCAGCGTGACGGCAGGATCAAGCGTTGGGTCGAGACTGACTCCGGCTCACCACGCAGAGCACCTCTTGTACCCGCGTGAGTTTCTGGAACATTCTGCGTAGAACTTTCGTCTCGCAGAACGTCTGAAACTCAATCGGACGACAATGTTCTCGAACTTACAAGAACGCCAAGTTGAAAGAATAAATAAAAGAGCATTCAGCTCCCTCGAATCGAACCTGGAGCCTCTGTGTGACAGCCAAGTGCGGTAACCATTTGGCCACGTACGTCCTTGCTCGGCAACGCGCGTGGCATTACTGGCATGCTTGTCTGTTTGGGGTCGAGTTCAGTGCGTATAAAAGATAAAACTGCCTTTTGTGCCCTTGCCTTTGTCAGTTTAAGTGTTGAAATGTCGTAATGAAGATTATAATTCCGCTAAACAGATTGAAAGCTTGGTGAAATGAAGGACCGCCGTGTCTAGTCCTTCGAACTTCGTTGAATCCATTTTGAGCTCCCAAGATACTAGTATGAGTGGATGTAATAATCTGAATAAACTGCAAAATCTTGTATTTTAGGCATCCGTTTCGAGCCCGGGGTGCTGGGAGAAGTATTCCAGCTTCTAGAGAAGAAGGTGCCTCACCTCAAGCCACAGGAGCGCAAATGCGTACTGTTGCTGGACGAGATGGCCATCGTCGAGAAGTTTGAGTATGACCCCAGCACCAGCTCCATCCGTGGTCACGTGACTATGGGCGTGCCTGAAGCACCGACCACCGAGCCGCCAGCCGCAACCCATGCCCTCGTGTACATGATCGCTGGAGTATCTTCACGATGGAAGCAAGTCATCTGCTACCAGTACACCGGTAACTCCCCCATTGCTTATTCAGTGTACAAATAATTTTATACTTACCGCATGATATACATATATTTTAGCATACAACTATGGTGGTGCTAAGCATCAGAAGGAAAACAT